AGGAGACTCGCTTGAGCCCAGGAGTTGGAGGTTGCTGTGAGCTGTAATGTCACGGCACTCTACCCAGGGGGACAGCTTGAGGCTCTGTCTCAAAAAAATAAAATAAAATAAAATAAAATAAATAAAAAAGAAAAGATAAACAAAATCGTTAGACTGGTAACGAGGATAACCAAGAGAGATGATTCACATAAACAGTCAGAAATAACAGAAGGGGGCGTGGTAACTGGCAGCACTGAAGTGCAGAAGATCCTCTGAGACTGAGTAAGCCTGTGCTCACATACTATGAAACCTGGAAGTAATGGTTAAATTCCTAGGAATATGTAATCTCCCAAGATCGAACCAGGAAGAAATAGAAATCCTCAGCAGACCCCTAATGAGTAATGAGAATGAATCAGTAATAAAAAAAAAAAATTTAACAAGAACAAAAAACTCAAAGATGAGACAGACTCACAATCGAATTCTGCCAGACATACAAGGCATAACTAATATCAATTCTACTGAAACTGTTTTAAAAAAATCAAGGAGGAAGGAATCCTCACTAGCTCATTTGGCAAAGCCAGTGTCACCCTGATACTAAAGCCAGGCAGGGCCACAACAAAAAGAGAAAACTGCAGACACCAGTAGCCTCGATGAACATAGATGTAAAAATCTCAATAAAATACTGGCAGGCCAAATCCAACAGCACATCAAAAATACAATACACCGTAATCAAGTGGGTTTATTCCAGGGATGTAAGGATGGTGCAGCATGCAAATCAATAAATGGGATCCATTACATTAGCAGAATTAAAAACCATGTAATAATCTAACTAGATGCCCAGGCTCGGTGCCTGTGGCTCAAGCAGCTAAGGTGACAGCCACATCCACCTGAGCTGGCGGGTTCAAATCCAGCCCGGGTGCCAAACAACAATGACGGCTGCAATCAAAAAAATAGCTGGGCATTGTGGTGGGCACCTGTAGTCCCAGCTACTTGGGAGGCGGAGGCAGGGGAATCGCTTGAGCCCAGGAGTTGGAAGTTGCTGTGAACTGTGATGCCACGGCACTCTACCCAGGGGGACAGCTTGAGGCTCTGTCTCAAAAAAGTACATGCCCAAAAATGATGTGATAAATTTTAGCATCTCTTTATAAAAACCTTCAACTAGGCAAAGAAGGAACACACCTCCAAATAATAAAACCCATGTATGACACACACCACAGCCAATACCAACATACTGAATGAGGAAGAATGGAAAGCATTCCCCCCAGAACTGGAGCAAGACGGGCTGCCCGCTCTCCCCACTCCTACTCAGT